ATAAGCTTTGATTATGTTTGAAAATGTTTGTATCGTTTGCCTTTTGCGTTAGATTTTTAAACTATATCCCGATAACCTATAATGCTGAAATTGTCCATACACATGCTTTGTGGATGACAATGCAGTGTGGTGACAATATATTAAAATTTTTGCTTCTCAGTGGTCACTTTCGATGTCCAATATTTTATATGGCCGGTAAATAAAATGTATTTATCAAGGGAAACAAACATACTTAAAAAGGTTAGTTGCGTATCCTTTACAGGACGTTGCAGAACCAACTCCAGCAGCCCCTGGCTGTTGTGTGGATTCTTTTGGCAAATTTACGTCCAGTAGTTTGCCATTGTTTTCTGGTCGGTCGGCTTCTTGATACCCCTGTCGGAATCAACGCAAGGCGTATGGTCTGCAGCTGGGATCGAACCCGGCATCCCGGCATTACGAAGCGTTCGCATCGACTTAGCCACAGAGCCAACAATCATACTACAAGGAAAATAATCTCTTCATTCTTAACAAAAATGAGCTATACCTACTTTCTGATCAGAAGTGTGTACAGTTTTTATTTTATTTATTTATTTATTTAATTTAAAGACATACATTATTAGTGTGATCTACTGACCATTCAGTATCAGCTGATTTTTTTCCTGCCCGAACACAGTACGAGCTCCGTTCCTCTATATCTGGACTCTTTCAATACCAAGGGATTCACAATCCTTTTATTACTTCACCTTTTTATTTTTTAATTGAAAGTCGTACCCGTGTGGGATTAAATTTTTTGTTATTTGAAACCCCACTCTGGCTTCTGCCAGGGACCCTGAATATAGCCGGGGCATAAATAAGGCCTAACGGCTGAAAGGGGTTTCTGGGACCTCACCACGGGTGATCCTCATCCGCATGGTGGCACTTTGTGTCACCGGGTGTTTATCGCTTGTGTGATGTCCTGGTGGGGTACAATTACCTACCTACCTACCTACCTTTTTATGGTTACGCATTTCTCTAATCTTTCGGTCCCATTCCTCCCTTACGTCAACGGAATATAGTACTAGATCTGCTCTTTGGAAGCGAGTGAATAGTGTGGAGGCACAGATAGATCATTACGGTCTGAGAGAATGAAGCTGCGAGGAGTTAGCAGGGGATCTGGCAGACGCTCAACACTCAGGTGAAGGGCCAGACGGATATACAATCAGACAGTTACTGGTGCTATCGGGATTGATGGGACTCTTCTCTTGCTGCGCTGAAGATAGGAACAGAGCGTTTATGGGAGTGTCCCGAGTGCTGTGATATCATTTCCTAATTCCATATTCAACATTTGATTAGGTCTTTTTTTTTAATCGACCAATCAGCATTGCCTGAGTGATATGGTCAGCATCACGCCGACCGCCTTTACTTCTCAGACTGTATCTGGTACCCACTCAAGGCTGGGTCGACTTGAGGGCAAAGATCAATCCTGAAAAAAAAATGTCTGGTTCCGTCTGTACTCGAACCCATGACCTTCCGATCATCATATTGAGAGAGTTATTAAGCTACTTTCTCTACAACTCCACAATTATCTGGTGCTTCCCGGCCTAGAGCCCTCTCATCCAGACATCATTCCTGGCTACCCCAAGCACCAACACTTCCACAACTGGCTGTTGGTGTGACGTCCTGGCACCTGGTGTGTGATTGACACTTACCCAATTCTCCAGTAGACTGTATTTCCTCCCTGTAGCTGAAAGACGCCATTTCTGGAAGTGGTGACAGAGTGACGTCTGCTCGTTGAGTCCCAGATTAAGCATCACTCACTGGCTGCTGCCCATTTTCGATCATTGTGGCATTTGGCTTTTGTTTGACGCTTCGGTAAAGATCTCTTTCCTTTTTGATTCAGCGTGCAAAGGGGATATCTTTTGTGTGGAGCAGGGGTGGATGTATGGGAGTGAATAAGGAGGTAAACTGATAACAGTGTGTTCTGTAGGCTCTTTATCATTATTGTCGTCTTCGTTATCATTGTGCCTTGCCAAGCTACAGAGGAGTTTAGGACTCCCCTCAGATCTTGGTTTTTTGTTGCTCTGGATTAGTCTCTCTCTCCTTCTCTCTCTCTCTCTCTCCTTTCTCCTATGAGATCTTGTTCTTTGCTCTTCAAGATTAGTTCTCTCCCCTTCTCCTCTCCACTAAGATCTTGGTCTTTGCTATTCTGGATTAGTTCTCTCTCTCTCTCTCTCTCTCTCTCTCTCTCTCTCTCTCTCTCTCTC